TAGCATCGCTTGTGCTGCTTCTGTCTGTTATATTACTTTCAGAAGTATCTTCAAAAGAAATATCTTCTTTATCTCCTACTACCACTGTACACCGCATCGGGAGATGGCGATCTTGCCTCCCTTCTGCTGCTGCTGCTTCTCTTATTACAGGTTCTATGTCTAATAGTTTTCCTGCAAATGTTGTTGCTGCTTTAATTTCTTTTTCTGCTTCTTTATCTTCTCTCTTTAGCGAGGTGTCGTGTCTATTTAAACCCCAGCTACCACCAGACCTAGACCAACTGCTTGTTTGCTGCTGCTGCTGCCGCTGCTGCTGCTGCTGCTGCTGCTGCTCTGCTGCAGTCTTTCTGCTGCTGCCTGTTCTAAGCACAGCTGCTGATGGCTTCTCCCCCGAAGCGAATCGAAACCTCTCGCCGCTACCTGCACATAAAGAACACACAAACAATATTGCTGCTGCTGCTGCTGCTGCTGCTGCTGCTGCGCTCTAGCTCCGCTGTGGTGGAGTTGTAGCAGCGTTTCTGTTGCTGCTGCTGCTGCTGTTGCTGCTGTTTCAGAGCAAGAGCAACTGCAACTGCAACTGCTGCTACTGCACCTGCTGCTGCTGCTGCTGCTGCTGCTGCTGCTGCTGCTGCTGCTGCTGCTGCTGCTGCTGCAGGTCTTACTCCGTTCTGCGTGCACCTTTCTCTCTGCTGCTGCTTTCACTGGCATTGAAGCGCGGCTTGAGGCTGTCTGAAGACGAAGACAAATTGAGAGAGAGCAGACACCCGAAATATCAATAAAATAAAAGAAAAGAAAATAAAATAAAATAAAATAAATATTATTTATGTGCTCGACACGTTGTATGTTTATTTTATCATCATATATACTACTATGCATTTTTAAAGTCTTTATATTTTATAGAATAATCATATGAAGCGGTATGATTGAATATATATATATATATATATACAAATATATATATAATCATACATATATATTATATATATTCTAGGTACCAGTAATATATTACACTGCTCAAAATATATAATGTATATTTCCTATAAAGCAATTATATATACTCGAATAAAAGATATTTAGAAAGTATATATATATGTATATGTATATATATATATATATATGTATATACATATATATATACCTTTTGCTGCTCTCTTGACGCCATTCTGCTGCTGCTGCTGCTGCTGCTTTTCTCTTTATTAGAAAGACTCTGCTGCTGTATGAGCAGCTCCGAGTATTTTCTGGGTCTTTCATTTCTACTGAGGGGTTTGGTGCCTGCGGGGTAGCTGTCTGTACACCTGAGATAAGAATATAAAGAAAGAAAAACAAGACATAAGATTTTTAAATATAACTCCAGAGTTGCATGCAAGAAGTATTCGTTGCAAGAGCTGTCGGTACACCTGAAATAAAAGAGTTGCATATGCTGCTAAAATTAATATAATTAAATATTAATACTGCAACGAAAAGAAGAAAAAGATATAATGCTGCGGTGTACGTACACCTCAGACGCTGGTAGCTCCTTCGGGTCATAGAGAATATCTAAGTCTTTCTTCAGTACTGCAAACAAATAAACAAATAAATAGTTAAATAAATAAATAAATAAATAAATATTAAATAATACGATGAAGGCATCATAGGCACGCAAACAAATGCAACAACAAGTACAGAGAAACAAGAAAAGACGAGAAAAATAAATAAATAAATAATAAATAAAGACAGAGACAAATAAACAAACAAACAGAAACAAACAAACAAACAGAAGCAGATAAACAATTAAACAAACGAACAGAAGGAGATAAACAATTAAACAAATAAGCAAATAAGCAAATAAACAAATAAACAAACAAACAAATAGGCAAATAAACAAATAAACGAACGAACAAACAAATAAACAAATACACAAATAAACAAATAAACAAATAATGCACAAACAAATAGGCAAACAAACAAATAAATTAATAAATAATAAAACAACTAAATATATAAATAATAGAAAAACAAATAAATAAATAATAAATAAATAATAAACAAACACACCTTGTAAGGCTCTTGCAAATCTATCCAATGTATCCTCTTCGGTCGACGCTGACATTCTTTCGGTTTTCTTCTGCAGCGGCAATCGCAATAGAACACACAGGGGTATATATATATATATATATGCAGTTTCTATATATATATATATGCAGTTTCTATATATATATATATATATATATATATATATGCAGTTTCTCCTTCTGTACTTGTTTTGCGAATTGATCTCCATCTGGTGTTTAGTAGAGATGAAGAGAGAGACAAGGAGCGAGAGAGAGAGAGAGAGAGACAGAGACAGAGGCAGAGATAATATTTTTATGTTTGTCTTCACTGCTGCTTTGCCTCATCCCCAGCAGCGGAGCGAGTTGGGGTGTCTGTACACCTCAGGGCTGGACGCACTTAAAGAAAAGATGTATGTGCAGCTTCAGGGAAATGAGAAATATAAATAAGGGAAGATGATGGTGAATTGACTTCTTGGGCTGCTTCTTTGTTGAGGTGAGGTGTACATACACCCGGGGAAATGAATGAGATCTGTAAGAGTTCTGCTGCAAGAGAAAAAGAAACTCTTAGTACACATTCATTCTTCCTTCTTCTTCTTCAAGATCTTCCTTTTGTTGCTGCCGACAGTGAGAAGACCCCAAGAAGAGCCTTTCTTCTGGGCCTCCTATCCCGCGGCTGAGGCAGCAGTTTGTGCTGCTGCTGCTGCTGCTTCAAGATCTGCTTCTGAAATGAATGTTTCTGCTGCTCCCTAAACATTAAATGTGTTGAAAAAAGGCAAATGTCCTTTGAACGCCATTTCAAAAACAAACTTCTTCCTAACCCTTGGCTGTCTGCTGCTCGCGATCCGCCTGGCCGGTAGAGAAGGAGGGAAGCAGCAAGAAAAGGGTCCTTTGAAAGCCCTTTTCTTTTGAGTAATGAAATAAATACTTCAAAAATACATCTCAGTATTCATTGTTTAATCCATAATCCTATTTACTCCTCCGTGTTTCCCTCATCGCAATGCCGCCACAGCTCCGGTAGGCAGCAGCCGTCTGTCTGGTCCTTAGGGCTGTCCGCACCATTGGTTTGAGGGTTTTATAATGCGTCTCTTGCCAAATTTCGTTTGCAAAAATCATAATTTTAGATTTATTTATTCATTCAAAATCAAGTTGTTCAATTAAGCCAAGGATCCCTCCTGTATGATGCAGCTAGCTGTGTACAGAACTGCACATACACCGCACGGTGTACATGCATCTGCACATCCGGAAACCTCATTGCGGCAGAAACTTTGTCCTCATTTGCAGCATTTTGCTTTTTGAAATTGCAATTTATCTTCTCATGAATCTTTCTTAGGTTTAAACCGAGAGGTTAGTGTCTTAGAGCATTCCGGAGCATTTATATCCCTCTGAAGAGGGATATAATGTATACTACTACTTTTCGTTCAAAACTCGGCGACAATGCAAAACACCTCTAAATATATATGCAGAAAACGTAAAGCAGTGGATGAAATATTTCAAGTTTGCTCATCATACACCTGAAGAGACGGCTCTGCTACAGACACCCCAAACTCGCATGCAGGGTGCTTGCTTGTTGTTTCCTTTTGTAAATATTTATAAGACAATTGATAATCATGAAGAGAAGCGTTGGTGAAGTCAGAAGAACTGCATCGTTGCTCTTTCTTCCCTTGTAGCTCAAGAACACTTTGCTTGCATCATTAGAGAGCATAAGCCCTTAAACCACGCATTAGATACACCTATATAACTAAATAACTAAATAACTAAATGTATATATATACATATATATATATATATAGAGCCATACGTCTTAGGGCGTAACTACCGAAATGGATTAAAGTGTAGCAGAGAATACAGGAAGAATATTCTTAATTCATGTTTTTTTGTTCTTTCTGCTACTTGTCTAGCTGTGTATACACATATACATATATAAAAATGTATGTATATGAATATATAATATGTATATATATATATATGCTATATCTTGTACACATCAACAGACAAACACACAAACGCACACCGGTTGGGGTTTATGATCTGCAGCAAAAACTGCTGCACGTTTGGTAGCCACGGGGGGGAAGTAGGGCTCAGAAGGGTAAACAAAGGTTTTAGGGTTTAGGGTTTAGGGTTTAGGGTTTAGTGGTTTAGCTGTTTTACAGCGCACACTTAACAATTAAGGCGTTCGATTTCCCGCGCAGAGCAAATTAAATAAGTAAAAAAACAAATTATTTTAAATATTTGCAGAAAGAAATAGAATTATTGCTGAATAGAATACTTAAATAAACATCAAATATTCAAGTGCGTATACAGCTGTCGAGATTATTTATACACACCCCTCATTAGCGTCTCTTCTGAATTTTCTGTCTTAACTTATATATGAAGTGTTGCCATATACTTATTATACATTTAAAAGAGAAGAAAGACTTTTATTTTAAACATTTACAACAAAAAACAAACAAAAAAGGAAGTACGGGCGTGTGTGTAGATTGTTTAGCGGCGGCGTCTCGTCGAATTAGAATAATAAAAATATGAATTGATTAAAACAAAAAACATAAACACTAAAATATACATATTCTATGCTATTAATAATAATAATAATAATAATACTTTAGTTTTGCTATATATATCTATAATAAAACAAACAAATTCAACAAATGAAGGCTCTATCTAACCTTATTAAACAAACAGCAGAATACCACATTTCAAATACCCCTTGAATGCAACAAAGCGATAAACAAATACCGAAGTAAACACAAAAAAACAATTTTAAATACTCCCCTAATTTATATGTATATATTTATTTATTTATATATTCATATTTATATATATACTATGAATTCTCTTCTTTATACAATTGCTTCGGGGTGCGGCCGAGGCGCACGACTTCGTTCATTCTCTGTCAGCACACCGCTGAGTACTGCACCGAACGTTAAAAGTATTTCAGAGTTTAATTTTATTAATCCAAAATAAAAGAGATAAAATATATAATTGGTAGACAGATAAAAGGTAGCTGGATGCCGCAGTTCAGTCTCTGAAGACAACTAACGATCTACTGCTAAGAGGGGTGCTTCCCTGCTTTGAATCCCTTGCAAAAGACGGTGAAAGCAACCGTTCTTCAACGGAATATATTCATCAAACCTTCTTTCATAAATTACAATTATTAAATATTGCATTTACCAGCAGATTTCGGTGTCTACGCACATCCAGAGCACCGACGGACGAGTACGCTAGATGCAACTCCCCACGGCGGTGCGTTATAGAACATCAGCAGCAAACATAAGGATAAAGTTTGTCACTGCTATATAAAAATACTTTGATAAAGTCTAATTAAATAGAAGTTTTAAAGAAGACATCGAAAAGCAAACAGAACCGAGCAGAAAAAGCGCTGCGTCAGTGAACAGTGTTCAACTACCACCGGGCCGCTATATACGAAACGTGTGAAGATGAAGAGATGGAAACATGGATAGAAACGACTTCTTTTTGTGTTTTTATGTATTTTTTTTATAATCATACATAATAATAACATTATTTATTTCTTTTTTATACATTTTATTCACCGCTATTTGCCCCACCGAACGCATACACAAGGTGCGATCATAAGAAGTTCGTCGGATGTGCAAGTAGCACTACTGAGGTGGTGCTGTTCTTCTCCCTGCTGAAGATGCATTCGCAAATGTCTGGTAAGTGTTTTAAATTGAGATCTTCCTCCTCCTCATTTATTTTGTTTTAATTTTCTTATTCCGTTCTGCTTTTCATTTGAATCCCGTTTCCTTTCCACAGCCAAAATGGACGGTGTTGAGGTTCAGCCACACATTCAACTCCGCAAGGTAAGCTGCTACCTTCTACTTGTTTCCTTTGTTTTCCTTCTGTGTTCTTTTCGAGTTTTCGTATTATGTTTGTAGTTTTGTTTTTTGAACAGCAGAAGGCAAGTAGAGATGAGGTATTTAGTCGCATATTCCATCGTGTGTGCCGGTGTATCGGGAGGTTGGCGGGTGGGGGGTAGCGTTGGTATGATCGTCTTGAATGAAATAAATATGTTTGATGTGTATTAAAATGGGAATATTTTCTGGTTTTAATTGTTTGTGTGTCTCTTAATTCATGAGTTTTTCATGATTTCCTCTGCTTTCTCTCCTCAGGGTCAGGTGCACCCCGTAGTGCTTACTATGGGCGACCCGAAGCGTGTCGATGAAGTAACGGCTCTTTGTGACAGTTTTGAGAATTTAACATTCAACAGAGAGTTTAAATCTGCAAATGCGGTGAAGAACGGTCAGAAGTTTACCGTGATATCTCACGGAATTGGCTCTTGCAGCTCGATGATATGCTTTGAAGAGCTGATTAAGTTGGGTGCGAAAGTCATTATCAGGGCAGGAACATGCGGAAGTATGAAGCCTGCAACAATAAAGCAAGGAGATATTGTTGTTCCTTATGCAGCAGCAAGGGATAATGATGTATGTGATTTATACGTGCCTATTCGTATGCCGGCAGTTGCAACACCTCGTATATCTCAAGCTTTATTGAAGGCAGGAGAAGACCTGAAAATAAACGTCAGATCAGGCATTGCACTGACTAATGGTGTCTTCTACGGACACGGACAAGAACATATTGATAATTTAACTAATTGGTCAAAGTTTACAGATATCGTAGACTGCGAATTCCAAGCACTCTTCCTTGTTGGTATCGGTAGAGGGATTGAAACAGGAGCAATTGCAGCTGTTGATGGTTCTCCTCTGCAGTGGGATCAGGTATGAACTTCTTTTTTACTCTTTCTTTTACTCTGTTGACTTTCTTGTAATTGAATATATTTACTCGTTTTTCTGCTTTTACTGCAATTCGCTGCTTTTATTTGATTAGTTTATGTCCTACAGTCTTCTTTGTACTGTCTGATTTAATTGGTTTTACTGCAAGTTTCTTTTAAATAATGTTTAATTATTCTTTTTCGTTCTTATTCGGTTAGTTATGTAATTGTTTATTTGTTGTTTGGTGAGTCAATCGATATAATTTATCATCTGCTCTATTTGCTCGACTCCTCAACTCTCTTTATTAAGTTATTTCTCGTTTTATTTATTGAATTGTTTTATATATATATATATTGTTTTATATATATCATTGGCTGGAGTGCATTAAAATATGCAGTACTATTATCCACCCTGTACCGTCTAAAGCACTGTGTGTACAATATTACAGTATGAAGCTCAATAGAAATATATATATATGCATATATATATATATATATACATAGGCATTCAACAGTAAGGATGAACATTGTTAAATAATAAGTTTATTTTGTTTATTTTGTTTGTTTATCTCAGGCTAACTACGACCCAACAGGAAAAGTTGTAGGGGCTGCGAAGGAGAGAATGCTGAAGGTTGCAATTCATACATGTGCTGAGCTGGCTAAAGAGTTCAGCAGCAAGTAAAAGATAATATTTGTTTATTATTTGATAGTATAAATAATTAAGAGGTGTAGCAGCCAAAGTTAAGATAAAGCTGCTTCTTTTGTTCGTCTGTTTTGTCTGTCTTGTCCTCGTCCTAAAGGGGTTTGTTTGCTCGAAACTTTTTGCTTCTTGTTTAATTCAATTGAGATATATTGACATCTCTTTAATAATAATAATAATAAGCGGCTCTCTCGCAGCAGCAGGTGGCTGTACACTAGGCGGAATAACCCGTCTTGCAGCCTTGTTAATACAAAAGCTGTTATACAGCTTCATTATATAATACTATACGCAGCGGCATCACTTGTATATTTCTTGCTGCTGCTGCTGCTCTTGCTGCTGCCAATGAATAAAGCAGCGCAGACGTTCTAAGTGCAGCCAGCGCTATGGGTGTATTATTTTCGTTTGTTTGCTGCAAAACAAAAAAGTTTTAATTGTCTTTCTTTTTACGAGTTTCTTTGTCTATTATTAACACCCCGCCATACCCAGGCTTATCTAGATATATATATATATATATATATAATGCATATTGTATATAGATTGTATCATGTAGATATATTTATAATAGTTTATTTGTGTAGTACGAGAAGTATGCGTAGTACGCATACTATGCAAATATATATTATCTATGTAGGGCTTAACCCTAAACCCTAGAAATTATATATATATATATATATAATTATATAATTATATATATATATGCATTAATAATATTTATAATTATGTATATTTAGAGTTCAATGCTCATAACGACTGTCTTTGTCTCTAGGTACGGCAGCAAACCCTCTTCGCCTCCTTCTCTGTAAACACACAAACACAAATGCAGATAATATAACATTTCTATCAAACCCTTTTAAATACTCGTAGGTAAATTATATAATTTATATATATATATATTTATTTATTTATTTATTTAGATATAAATACATAGATGCCGCTATCTATTAATTTTATGTACGTCCAACTTTGAAACGAATTGCAGAGTATATCGCGACTTCATATAAATAAAAACTTAAATGAGTAAGTGAAAGTAAAATTAAAAAGAATAATTAGAGACATTGTTAGAAATAATAAAGAGAAAAGAAGCATTAAAAGCAATATAGAAAGACAACACTATAAGGAGTAGGGAAGGCATCAAGAGAAAAAAGATAAAAAAAAATAAAGACAGCAATAAAAAGAACAAAGACAGCACAAAAATGAGTAAAGACACAATGAAAACGAGTAATTAGACAATCAAACGAATGAAGATATCAGCACCACAGCAAACAAATAAACACAAAGCAAATAAAGACAACATTAAAAAGAAATAAATAAGTAAAAACAACAAATATTTTTTTTTGTTTATTTATTACCTTCCATATCCGCTGGCTTTATATCCACCAAAAGGTATCCCAACATCTCCGCTTAAATATGTATTAACCCAGACAGTCCCCGCATGCAATCTAAACAATAAAAACAAATTAAATACATAAAACAAATTAAGTAAATCAAATAAATTAAATAAATAAAAATAACACTCATACAATCAGCTCTCTTGCATGCATAGATCGTTGGCAGTTTAGGGTTTATGGTTTAATGAGTTGAGGGTGTATAAATGTTTGTCTTTATAGGGTTTAGGGTTTAGGGTTTAGTACGCATAGGGTTTAGAACTTACAGGGATAAGGGTTTAGGGTGTACAGGGATGAGGGTCTAGGGTTTACAGTTTAGACGGATAACAGATTAGGGTTTACAGGGTTTAGGGTTTAGGGTTTAGGGTTTAGGGTTTAGGGTTTGGCGACCTGCTAACGAAGTGATCTGCAAGAGGAATGCTGGAGGTGAAGACGCCGGCTCCGAGCCCATACTGCGTATCGTTTGCGCGTTGAATCTGAATAAATGAATTTAAATAAATAAGCAAATAAATGTGTATAAATAAATAGTGATCCTGGTGATGGTGGTTATTATTATATAGGCCTTATTATTATATACGTATTGTATTAACGACAAAATATAGAACAAACAAAAGAGAAAAGCATGAGGATGAACATTCAGACAGAATGCCGTTTACAACTCCAAAAAGAAAGTCGAAGAACAAAAAAATGCGTTGAGATGCAACCGTCCTTCTCTGTCTATCTTTGTCTCTCTTTATCTCTGTATAAATATATATATATAATTATATATATGTATATACGTATAAAGATACGTAGGCGTCTATATAAATATATAAATATATAAATATATAAATATATAAATATATAAATATATATATGTATATATGTGGGCATTTTTTTGCTGAAGTGTATATTATTTATTTTAATACCCTTTTTGCATTAACTGCGTGGTTTGTTGAGATGCAACCGTCCTTCTCTGTCTATCTTTGTCTCTCTTTATCTCTGTATAAATATATATATATAATTATATATATGTTGTTGCATTTGAATTATAAGTTTAAAATATACATTTTCCTGCATTCTTTAAAAATGCCTTTGTTTTACGGGTATTTCCTCTTACTGCTTCTTCGACTGTTTTGAATTTATAAACGCAAACAACTGGCCCGAAGATTTCTTCTCTCGATATTTTCATTTCATCGGTAACATCCGTGAAAATAGTGGGTTCAACCCAGAGGCCTCTGCGGTGTACGTACAGCGCAAGTATGCAGCAGAAAGCAGAGGAATACAGCATAAAATATGAATAAATATTGAAATTTTTGTGTATTTTATGAATATTTCGATGATATTTATTGACTACCGAAGAATTAAGTCGAAATTCAGAGAAAATATCATGGTGCAAGTTTGCTGATTTCACTAACTTTCCTTCTTTCTTGACGCCCCCAAGAACGCATTTAGCACCTTCTTTCTTCCCTTCTTCAATGTAAGAAATAACTCTAGCTAATTGTTTGCTGTCTACAATAGGCCCCTGTGTACAGCAGGTCTCTAGAGGGTTTGAAAGCTTAGCTTTCTTCGACACGGTTTCCTTCAGCTTCTCCACAAACTCGTTGTACACATCGCATTGTACAAGTATCCGGCTGCATGCCACACAGCACTGCCCTGCAAACAATCCAACAACACAAACACCCAATGCACCAACACCGTTTCATGTTCTATTTGCTTTCTGCTGTTGCTGCTGTTGCTGCTGCTGCAATTTTCTCCCCTTCGATTTGATATCATATCCAAGGCGGCAAGGATTCACTAATGCTGCTCTGCTGCTACTGCTGCTACTGCTGCTACTGCTGCTACTGCTATTACTGCTGCTCCTACTGCGACTGGAGTGTTGCTGTGGTTGCTTCTATTGTTTGTATGTGTAGTCTGTATTGTCTGCCTTAGTTAATGAACATGAAAACTATTAATATTGATACTATATATATATATATAAATATACAGTTAATAATTATATGTATATGCAACATACCGGAGTTGTGAAAGAGGCCTTTCCAAGTTGCTTCTGCAGCTTTTTGTATATCTGCATCTTTAAGAATAATAAGAGGGCTTTTACCTCCTAATTCGAGTGTAACTCTTTTAACTGTTGCAGCGCATTCTTGTGCTACGAGACAGCCTACAGAAGATGAGCCTGTAAAAGAAACTTTTTGAACAAGCGGCTGACGAATTAAATGAGCTCCTACGCTCTCTCCAAACCCATTTAATACATTAAATACTCCTGCAGGGAAGCCCTAAACAAATAACACAGACAGTTTGTTATAATTCATATTTAGTAATAATAATAATAATTATTATTATTATTATTTAATGCATTATATACTCCTGCAAGGAAACCGTTGACAAATAAGACAGACAGACTGTTTCTTAAAGCTATTATTGTAGGATAATAATAATAGTATTGTTGAAAATTGTAATAAAAATAATCATTGTCGTGCAATACTCTAATATAAACATATACATATATATATATAATATATATATCTGTATATACTATGCATACACACATATATATCCATATAATATATATATATATATATATATATATATTTATTTATGTATATATATATATGCATCTACATCTATATATATATATATATATATATATATATCTGCATCTATACACATATATACATACATATATATATTTATTTATTTATTTATGCGTACAGCCTTTTGAACGAGTTTGCAGAGTGCGAGGGCTGAGAGAGGCGATTTTTCGCTGGTTTTCACAACGACTGTGCAACCGCATGCTAACGCAGCTGCTGCTTTCATAACAGTGAGCATTAAAGGGAAGTTCCAAGGGACGATCTGCAGTAATAAACAAATAAATATAATTAATTCAATTAATAAAAATATCTTTACATCTACAGAATTCAATACATCGATTTATATATAATACATCAATTTGCACAGCTGTTGCTTTCTTAACTTTCAGCATTAAAGAAAAGTTATAAGGAACTGTCTGCAGTAATAAACAAATAAATATCATTAAATCAATATAAATAAATCAGTATAAATAACTAAATATATATATGTATATATATATATATATACATGTATATATATATGCATTTAATAGATTGATATATATATATATATATATATATATATAGAAAAACATATAGATACTGGTATGTTAATGTATATATATGTGTATATATATACATGTATAGGTATGTTGATACATACATGTATATATATATATATAATCAACAACCCAGCAAAAACAACAAAACATTAGACAGCATGAAGATAGCCGCTCCGCAGATATTAAAACAAAAAAGAAGAAACAACGAGAAACATAAACAAAGACAAGAAATGATGTGGATAGTTTTATTAAAGTAATATTAAAACAAACAAAAACAAAACAAATAACTTCAAAGGGACAGCAAAATGAAAAAAGAAGAAAAGCCAAAGAAAAAACAAAAAAAGAAATTAATTCAACTTGTTGCAATTTAATAAAATATTTCTATTATTAATTTTTAAACTACTTAATCTATTTCTTTATAAGCAGATTAATAAACAAACAAAGACATAAAAAAGACAGCCTTACTGCAGCAACAACACCAACAGGTTCTCGTCTTGTATGACATGATATCTTTTCACTCTCTAAGACGGGGATGTAGGAGCCTCCTGTTATTTTATCAGCCCATCCGCTATAATATTTTAGATTTGCTATGCATGCATCCATGTCTCCTCTGAAATTCAAATAAAACAAAGTGTATATTCATCTATCTTTCATTTATTCACTCTTCAAATAAACTAATAAACAAACATATAAACAAATAAACAAACAAACAAAACGCAGAGAAAACATTGATTCAAATATATTACAGACAACTGGAGATACACCACAAAAACACATGCAGAGCCCTTAACCCTAAACCCTAAGCCCTAAAACCGCAAACCCTTTGACAATTAAACGAAGAAAACAATGAAATAAAAAGGAATACAGGAGAGATATTACGACCGTCTGAACCCCAAACCCTAAACCCTAAACCCTTAAAATATTCAAAAGTTTAATAAAACACGCAGTTCAAAGATACTGCTTTCATTCTTGCTGCTGCTGTTGCTGCTGCTGCTGCTGCTGTTATTGTCGTTCCTTGGGGTGTACGTACACCGCGTTTTATTACCTGGCGTATTGAATGGGTTTACCGACATTAATGCATTCGATATGAGCGATATTTTCTTTTTCTTCTTGGAGCAGATTCGCCAACTTCATCAACAACTCCCCGCGTCTTCGTGCTCCTATATTTAAAGACCAGGAAGCAAAGGCTTTGTGTGCTGCTTGCACTGCAGCTTCTACATCTTTTTCGCTGTAAACAAAAGAGAAAAGAAAAGAAGAAGAAATAAATACAAAACAAAGTTAAAAAGAAAGAAACGAGACAAAACGCAAAAAAAAAACAAACAGAAACGGTAACAAGAAGCTGCTGTCTTTGCTGCAGCAGAAAAAAGGAATTGAGTTTGTGAAGAAGATAAAGAAGAAGTGCTGAAGATTTATAAAAGCATTTAAAATTAGTAATGCAATGAACTCAGTGCGTCTAGGAGTTGTTGTTGCTGATGCTGTAAGCAAAACCTTTTTATGAGAAAGATAGATGAATAACACCATCGACGACATTGTTATAATGAGGGAAGGAAATTAAATACACAAAAAAGAAGCAGATGAAGGCAGCCAGCCACTCCACAGACTTAATGGCATACAAACTCTAGACAGCATTCAGGTTTGTGATGTAGCTATAATGACAGTAATTGCTCATTAGGGTTTAGGGTTTAGGGTTTAGGGTTTGAACGGGGCTGGCTTAGGGCTACTGGAGTTACCTCGCTTCTCTGATCTCACAGATTTCTTCTTCTGTCGCTGGGTTTATCAGTTTCCACGTGCGTTTGCCGTTGGCTTCGCGGAACTCCCCGTCGATGAACAGACGGGTTTCGTAGGTTGGACTCACTGAAAAAGAAAAACAAAAATAAATACTGAGGGTTTAAGGGGTTTTAATTCTTTTTTCAATGCGGTAGAATCAGAAAAAGCGTTTTCTTAGCTTTCTTTCAGTGCCGCTGAGGTATGCTAGAACGGAAGACGACGGGGTGAGACAGGAGAGAAAAACCCAAAAGAGGAAAGTAAATGAAAATCGTCTGGTTTAAATATGTTAATTCTAAAAAATTTCAATAAAAAACACGACAAAACTCTGTGGAAGGCGGCAACTGCAAGCGCATCAAGTGATGTATGAACGGAGTGTACGTACTGTTGAGAAGCTTTGAGTTGCGAAGTTGTTGAAAAATGATGGAAATACCGGAAATATCCCTGCAAATATTCTGAAATATATTATTAATAATTAATTTATAACTTTTGATCGCTGTCGAACTCTGAAGAAATGAAGAGAGCAGGCAGGGCGTTGCTCTCTATGCGCCGTGAACGGCTCTGCAGTGGCTGCTGTCGTTGGTGAATATTTGTTTAATTTTTTCTTTTCTCAGCCAAAAAAACAAACTCAGAAACAATATTTCGTAATATGTCTGTTATTTTGCTTTAATTTAAGAGAAATTGAGTTTTCAAACCCAACCGGGGAGCACACCGCCGCTCTCTGCTGTACGTATCATACGCTCGTTATCTGCTGCCCTCTGACGATAACTCCAGAAGATTTATAACAAAAAAAGAGTGTAATCACCTTAAACAAGTTTAATAAAGTTTCAATGCAAACAATTAACACTGGAGACCATAAAGGGAGGGGAGATAAACTCCTTCGGCCACCCTAAACCCTAAACCCTAAACCCTAAACCCTAAATGTCTTGCAAATCTACCACTGCACGCCCCATTTTGCCTGAACAAAGATATATCAATATCCAATTGAAGAACAGAGAAAGAAGGCGTCGATAGTAGAGTGTGCATGCAACGATGTAACTTATATAATAACTTAGAAACAATAAAATCATTCTTTAATATATATTTTTCTTTTTTATTTGTTGTTTATTTATTTGTCCCCAGGCGTCCAAGGCATTTAAATTCCCTTTGCTTGTCTTTCTTCTAGTTGAGTTGTTTTTAAATGCTATTTTGTCTGCTTGAACCCTAAACCCTAAACCCTAAACCCTAAACCCTTAGTACAAATCTAACTATGGAGTCATCATTCAATCCTCTACTAATATAGATGCTGCACGTACAGCAAACGCGCAGTTGTTGGCTGAACACAACCTGCTGGCTGTCTGTCTTGGAGGTCTGCATTTGTTGACAAAAATAAACTGATTATTATTTAAAATGCAATATATACCCTCTTCATCCTGCAGGCTGGCGAACAGCAGCAGGATCAACAGCAGCAGCAGCAGCAAACTAGGGAGCAGCAGCAGCAGCAGCAGCAGCAGCAACAGCAATAGCAGCAACAGCAGCAACAACAGCAGCAGAAACAGAAGCAGTGAAAGTAACAGAAGCACTTTAAACTAATGCGATATTAATATGAAGACTTCTTCTTTAGACAGTTTTGCTGTCTATAGTATATCATAGAAAAAGCCAAAGGGCGTTCATACACCCCAAGGCAAAGGTAGCGGCTGACTGACTAACAAACCGCAAGAACAACAGAAGATAGACGCATAGAAATCAATTTAAAAGGAAAAGAGATATAAAGTATTTCATTTTAAGTTTGTTTTTATGCAGAGGAGGAGGCCGTTCTAAAGTAGCTAACCACTGGTGGCGATTGGCGCAGTGTGAGTAAGTGAAGGCTTTATACGGTTATGTGTTTGAATCTAATGAGTGAAATAAAGAGTTTATAATATAGTTTCTAATTTTATAAAAACAGTTGTTTAAAAGAAGGGAAAGAAGGAAAAACACAAGAAGACAATCACCTAAAACTACTGCTATGTATGGGCCGCTCTGACGGGTGCTGTGGCTGCTCAGTGTTTGTTGAAGCTGTCATTGTTTTTGCTGTCTTTTAAAGATTCTCTTTGAAATACTACGGAATAAAGAAGCTTCTGAATTATAATATAAACAAAAAGAAAGAAAAATAACAAAAAAAACTGCTTACTGCCTTGCAATGAAAGAGCTGAGCTACAGACAGCTTCAATACGCAACCAGCCTTCTTTCTTCCCTCTCGCGGGCCGCGACAGCCAGCGAAGAGCAGCTGGTTGATGAACAGCTGCATGAAATAGAGGTTTTTGTATTTTTTCTTGTTTAGTTTTTGTGTTATGCATTAAGAAGCGATAGACTGGTATCAGAAGAAGCTTCCAAAGAGGCATTCAAGCACAACACAAACACCTACAACGCTTCTTGAACGCGAAACCGCAGGCCTTGTCGGCCGCACAAAATATCATCATCGCACGTGTCTAATCGCAAGTAGATGAATATCAAAGTAGTATTTTGAGTTTTTTTTCAAAGAAAAACACTGTAATTCGTCTGAAGGCGCAGTATAATCTTTTGTCTCATGCTTATACCGCGCCGCTTCACACCCGTCTTCTTCGGCTGTACGTACAGCCGACTTCGGATTCACACACTTTTCTGCATTTTGTTTTTTCGCATTTTCCACTCGTTTCTTGGTGCTCTTTGTGGCTATTTGAGCCTCAATAGGCGGATTTTAAGCCATTTGTCTTTTATTTCTTCACCTCATCGCACAAGGCCCGCGTTGAAGGGGGGTTCTCCGCTTGAATTCATGCGGTCTTCCATTTTTCGTGTTTCTACTGGCGTCTTTTGAAAATGGGTGGCTGGACCCGGTTGGTGGCAGGCGCCTTTCTGTGCGCCTCTCCCGGCAGCCTGTTTCTCGTCGAGGGTTCTGATGGAGTCAAGACTTTCAATCTCCCTAACGGGGGCTCTTTGAATATTGAAGTCACCAGGGGATCGCATCCAGGAGGGTCTATTAGCGTAAGCGCTCCCGGAAGCACAAGTATGAGTTTCCCAGGTGTTTCTGGATCGTATGGCGGCTACTCTCTCACGGACTCTGTTGAAATCAGCAGCAGCGGCGAACCCCCTGTGGTTCAGCATATAACGTTAGGGCAAGGAGGCACTGGCTTCCCCCCCCCTTCTTTCGGAAGAATTACACCACTTGTGGCTGGGGCTCCCACCTCTACTTCGCAAATAATGTTCGGGTGGGTCCCCGATCCTGACGCTGCAAGCGCCAGCCTGGGGGCTCAGAACATCTCCGAGTTGAACAACGCTCTCCGCAGTGCTGCCTTTGTTAACAAACTGCGAAGTAAGTAAATAAACAACAAGCAATGCTGTTTGCTCTAAATATACTAAGTGAATATAATACTATTCATGCATACAGTGCAAATATTCAAGAGAATGTGCTTGGGTCACCGTGTGCGTGCGGTTGTCTAACGATGCCGCCTCTCTCACACACTGTGTTTCGCTGCTGCTGCTGCTGCTGTTGTTGCTGTTGCTGCTGCAGCTCGTGCGATTGTTGAGAAGTCCTGCAGCATTCCCGTAGCTACGGACCGCCAGAGCTACTTGGAGATCTTCTGGGGGGCAGTAGATGCAGAGAGACGCTTTCGTGAAGCAGCAGAAGAGCAAAGAAAAGTAATAGAAGATGAGCTTCATCAAAACCAAATGGCTTCACCAAATATGACGTACGCTCGCTCAGTTGCTACAAGAGCAAATCTAGAGAGGGGAGAGACAGGTGCAGCAGCAGCAGGAGGAGGAGCAGCAGCAGAAACAGAAAACGATACAGCAGCAGCGCTGAGGTATCAAGAAACAGTAGACAGGATTTTCGGCTCACGAGTTGAAATTCTTTTAACTTGCAAGCTGGCGGCTCTTCTAGGACAGCCTCATATCTTTTTAAGTGATGCAATAAAGCCCGTCGAAGCATTAGAGATGGTAGCTACTGCTCTTGGCTTAGGAGACGTCTCATCCACTCCTCTACCTGCAGAAGCCGCAGCAGCAGCAGCAGGTGCAGCACGAGCAACAGCAGGCCCTATGTTTGGAGGCCTAGAGCCCTTCCTCATGGCTTCAAATCCTCTTAGTAAGACAACTAGCATATATCTATATAATATATCTAATATATATATATGTATATATGAATAGATGAAAGTACTTGATAATTATGATGCATGCAGCATTATACAAGTACTTTCATCTACGACTGGTGAATGCTGTTTGCTGCTTATCTTTCTGCTCTCGCTGTTTTTGCTGCTGCTCCTGCTGCAGCTGCTGCAGCTTCATCTTTATTTTCCTCGCCGCACATTTCTGTTTCCCGCGTACATTAAATATATTCTATATTAATTCATCATATATATAATAAATAATTATATATCAATATATATATATATATATAATATTCTTTAATACATGCATTTTATTGTCTTTTTCTCTTTTGTTTGCAGCAACCGGGCACATACTGACATTGTTAATAGGGTATATAGACAGAGATGCGTTTTTCGGGTCTTCTCCACGTAAATCTTTTTATAATTTTACTACATTAGTAGGAGCAACAGGAGGAGAGTCAGGTATACTGATGCTCGATGAGATGTGCGACAGAGACAGAGGCCCTCGACATAAAACAAGCATGCTTGCTCGTAATAGAAGAAAAGACAGACAAGGAAGACCTACAGCAAGAGGAAGCTCAAAACCCTGGTTTGTTAGAGGGACAAGACGCCAACATAAAAATAAAAATCAGCCTGAACTCCTCAGGGCTTACTGTGATGCAACAGAAATGATATTAAACGCTGTTATGACAAGTGAGACAATAAAATAATAGTAGTATTAACAACAATAACAATAATAATAATAATAATAATAGTAAAATAGCACTCTATACAAATTAATGCATTATTCTCTTGTTTTTTGTTTTGCATTTATTGTATTTGTTTTGCTTCTTCTTTATATTAAACACAACGCAGCGCTGCTGCCTTCTGAAGGAATATCGAGATGATCTGTTTAATGTTTTTGTTTTGCTGCTTAGAACAAGAAGATATACAAGAAGAAATGCTCAAGTATTCTTTGCCTGTGGAGCCTCTGGTTGACCCAGCGACTAATGCTGCACGCATTCAAACGCGCACTTGCAGAGGAGAAGCAGCAGTTTGCGAATTTGATAATTCAATCTTAAGCCCTGTCGCTAGTCCTCTTGATCCTGCTGCTATTGATCAGAACACCACTACAAGAAGCGCCTTCAACTTATACGCTGGTCTTGGTGAGTCTTTCTTTGTCTTTATCTTTATCTCTGTCTCTGCCTTTGTCTTTATCTGTCTTTGTTTCTAACGCTTTCTTTATTTATGTTTCTGTTTATGCTGTTTTGGGGACGCAAAGGCTTTTAGCTGCTGCTAATAAATGTCTTGCTATTTTCTTCTTTTGTTATTCGCTAGGTTTGTTGTTTTAATTCGTTTGTTTGATTTTGACTTTTTGTCTCTTTAAGTTTGTTTGATATTTCTTCTCTCTTTGTTGTATGCTTCATCAGTTTGTTTTCTTTCTGGTTTATCTTCAGTGCATGCTCGGCTATATAATTATATATGTTTGAAGTAATACGAAGATATCTGTAGTTTCACTCTGTTTCTCTCTGGATGCTTCTTCTGTTGCTGTTTATATATCTTCATCTAACGTAACGAAGCCTCTTTACTTTTGTTTGTGTTGTTTGAATTTTGTTTGTTTTCTTCACCAGCAGCAGACACAAAGCTTGAAATATTAAATTCTTTATTTATTGCAATCAATATAAACTCTTTTTATCTTCTGTACTTAATCTAAATTGTCTGATTGATAGATGTAATCAAATATAACTTTATTGAATATTGAATATGACGCACTCACTGCCTAGCATAATACTAATACTAATACTAATACTAATACTAATACTAATACTAATACTAATACTAATACTAATACTAATAATACTAATAAGTTAATTATGTTGTTTTATTTCTAATATTTTATTATTATTATTCTTCAGCTAGCGCTCAAATCGGCAACATGTTAGAAGACGGAGGGTCGCGATATTACGATACGCGAGCAGAGCAGTGGATGGAAATCATTTCAAAGCCGGCAGCGAATAACGACAGTAAGCTCTTTATAATAAAATATTCAACATATATATATATACATATATATGTGTATATATGTATATATATAGGTATATATATATATGTATATATATGTATATATATACATAATATATGTATATATGTATATATATATATATATATATATATATATCTGTATATATAGATGTGTATATATACTCAATCTATAAATCGGGCATTCTTAACTAGGTGCAGGAGATTAAAAGAGTTAATATCGATTATATCTAAATATATACATAATTTATTTCTATATAATAATTAATTACAGTAGTGAGGATTTGCATAAAAAAATAAATTCATTGCATTGTGCGGTGTGTGCTGGGGGCAGCGACGCATATATACATATATACACATATATATATATATATATATATATATATATAT